CCTGTTTGAGAATGTCCGTAGGGGGTTAAACCAAAGGCTTTTCCTGACAGGAAACCTGAAGATTTAGTCTAATTTTGGCCCTATTTCACAGAAATTCTAAGAGACAAATGACACTTCTTATAAGGCAGTAAAAGTTTTGGAAGAGAAGCTGTAGAGTTGACTAGCTCAAGCTGGAAGAAAACAGGCCCTTCCATAGGTGTTTATGCTTTCAAGATGAATTTTTTTTTTTAATGTTGATCTTTATTCTTGTTTTTTTCCTCCTATTTGTCTCCCCTTAGAAAAACGGAAAGATCACATTTGGGCTACAGAGGCGGCCGCAGAAGCGGAGTGAGGAATTCCTGGATACCTGGCAGGGTGTGTTGAGGCGTAATGCTCATCTCCTGTCTGTGTCCTGGTGTGCGACATCTAGGGGCACCATCTACCAGGTTCGTATGCGTTATTATTATAAAAATTGGAATCCAGAGAAGGCTCTAATGCAGTGTTTATAAAAATATCAACCCTATGACCTACCTCTGCTGAGCAATGAATGCTTCATATACAGAAGAAGGTAACCTGGACAAATGTGGCTTTTTTAGGTAGGACTGCTGTCTCTGAAAATCTGTCACCATCTTGGCTCATGAACTTTTCTTGAAGACACAAGACTAAATACAATTAACATTTTAACCCAAAGCATCATGTAAAGACTTAAAAAAAAAAAAACCTTGTATGTTAATTAGGTTTCTTAAATTCATGCATAAAAACCAGCTTTACTTACAAAGACACAAAGAAGTCTTTTCCTGTCTAAAATATTTACAGTCTGTCTTTTTAAAATTGTATCTCACCTCACAAGACTGGGTTATCCATCAGTTACAAGCATTTCTCTGGTGTTAAAAGTCCAAGTACAGGTGTTACAAATAGAAGAACGTACAATTCATTCTGTAGGTTTAGAATGCGGCAAGCTTTCATTCTGAAAATAGGTTCTGGAGAAGACCTGAATGAAAGCAATGCAGCTTCACAAAAAGGCACTGCCATCGTGCCATCCGTTCACCATGTTCAGAAACACACTTGATGAAATACTATCTTCAACCACAGAACACAGAGAGGTCTGTGGAACCACCGTGCAGGACACGGAGAAGCTGGGCTGTCTGTCACCTGGCTTCTCTGAGGCAGCTTCCTCACGTGCAAAACAGATCCAAGTCATGTACCAAACCAGACAACTTCCCAGGTTTCTTCCAGACCCCAAATGTTGTGATTACGAGAGGATGGCCAACAGAAAGTCCAAATGATATTTAGGAGACTTGCCCTCATACTGACTGCACTTCTATTACACCTAACTAGGACGCTCATAAATATCAATTAGGAGTCTATCGGGAACAATCGGGTGTAGATTACATGAAAGAAAAATTGTACTTATTCCCAGCAAACGTATAATTAAGGCCAATATCTTACATAAACACACCCACACATGCACATGCCTATGCTATATAATGACATTACCTGTACACGGGTAGGCAGGTGCACAGTAAAGAGCTGACGTGTCCAGTGACATATGCACACTCTGATGACAACAACCAGGAAGGCATCTAGGTGCCAAGTGGCCAAAGTGGACACTATGTCACCACGGCTAATTCTTCTAGGAAACACAAGTTCTGTCTCCATCTGTGTCACTTCTCGTATCATCTGCCTTTGCACTGGCTATCGATTAAAAAGCCACATTAAGTACATAGTATCCGTGTACTTAAAAAGATACTGGAGGTATTAAACTGCTTTTGAATTTGACAATTAACTGAATACTTGATATTAAGAAACCACATTTCAGGTAATGATAATAGTATTTTAGTTACAGTTTTCACAAAGCATCTTTACCTTTGAAAATTACATACTGAAATAATTATGGATGAAATGATGTGACCTGCTTCCAAAATAATTCAGGGTGAGGGAGGCGGTGTAGATAAAACGAGACTGGCTGTGAGGGGATAACTGTCGAAACTGGGCAGGTACACGGGAGGTTGTGGTATCACCTTTGGTGCTCTTAAGTATGTTTGGAATTCTCCAAAATAAAATAATACGAACTCCTGATGGTGAGCTCAAAAGAACACACCAACTTTCCAACTGAAAGACAAGTTATCTGTTGGGACTGTCTATACTGTTCATATAAGTCGTGTTTGCTGACAACAGGTGGGCACGGCTCAGGATGTTCCTCTGAATGTCAAGGACGATTAAATCCTAACCTATAAACATCTGGCTAATGAATTTAGGAAATTTACATTGTATTGTCACGAAATCTGTGGAGTAAGTTCAAAGAGTCGTAAACTGTTATGTTTCACTTCCTAATTTTAAAGACCAACTTATGAAAATAACTTTAGGTAAACCTCATCACTAACAAAAGGATCCACGTAATGCACATTCCTCCAAGCACTTCATATGCGAGCGGCAACGTCTACAACAGGCTTGGTCAGAGTGAATAAAAAGGCAGGTCTCCAGTTACACAGAAGCTCGTGTCTTTTTTTTTTCTTCCAGAAATGCTGATTTTCAGCAGTTTTGGATAAATACATATAGCAATACATAACACCAAGATGGCAGGGCAGGAATCCATTAGGTAAGGGTGTGTCTCTATTGATCTTCAAGAAAGATTCAGACCTTTAGTGATGGAATATCGGTTATCAGATCCTTCAGGTATGGGTGCGACAATAAGGCATATGAATTTTCCTGGCACTTCTCCAATTTCAAATGGTCTATATGCTGTCTTCATAAATGACACATGCTTTCCAGAAGTTCAAGTATTTTCAGAACTAAATCATACAGTTGGATTGTTTCTTATAAGCCTGAGTAGGGAAAACGTTTGTCAGACCGTGATCCTGTTTGTATCACTGTATTTACAGCCTCTTCACTGGAGAGGGGAAGGGTGGTACTTACTGAGCACCTACTGGGTCTCTGGACTACTTCCCCGTGGCTCCTTCCCTGGAAAACTCACATCCCTCATTTAGGTTCAGTGGCAACAACACCTCCTCTAGGAAACTTCCTTGGGCCTCCCGCTAACGAGACTGAGGCAGAGTTCTGCACTCCCCACTTCGCAATACCTTTCACAAGTACACTTATGTAATAAACAACATGTGAATTGTTTAAAGACATAGGTCTCTCTCACTATAGACTACAAGCTCCAAGAGGCCAGAGACCTCTGGGTCTTGCTCATCACGGCTCTTCAGTCCCGAGAGCACATCCACCACACTGATTACCAACCCCGGCTGCACCACAGTCTCCTGGGAGCTTTAAAAAATACTGCTGCGTGGACTCCACTGCTAGAGAGTCTAATCAGGTCAGGAATGGGGAGGACGCTGGGAAGTGACAATCTTTAAAAAAAACCCAGGGGGTTGTGACGGGCAGCCACGTTGAGAGTCCTGCCCAACAGAGCAGACTCAGTACACAAGAACCTGAGGACCTCTAAATATCCCCCAATGACCTCAGACTGTGCATATGTTGTTTGATGTCATTTTCACTTGCTAAAACTATAAAATAATTAATGACATACTAGAAATTTAGATATGGCATCAGTGAAGAGATATTTGGGTTTTCCTAAACATCAACAATAGAAAAGAACAGACTCATAGCTGGAAAATACTCAACTCCAAGCCACCTAATTCACGACAAAACTAAACTATAAATAAATAATCATGGCCTCTCTGTGGCATCTCCTTCTGTGCCAGGACTGCTCTCATGTTACTTCACTTTCTCGTCCGGAAACCTTGTAAGAATCGCTGCGCCTTATTTATACAATCTATTTGGTGTCTCAGGCCACTGAAACTGCATTTGCCAAGGTCATCAACAGCCTCAGCACAAAATCTAAAGGACACCCCTTTATCGGACTCTTCACCTTAAAACCCTTGCTGACCCTCCTTTCCCTCCCGGCTCCCTGGCCACCCTGCAGGTTTCTCCTCCACCAGTGCTGTAAAGAGCACTCCCTAGGACTCTGTCCTACATTCCTACATTTTCTTCCTTTTTCTCCTTCTTGGGTGAATATGTCAACTCCCAGGGACCATCTACGTGCAGACCACACCCAAACCTCTCGCTCTTTAAATTCAGTTACCTATTGGACGCCTCCACTTGTTCGTCAGACAGCCGCACACCAACCGGTCCAAAGAGAAGGGAAGACCGTCTTCTCCTCCTCGCCCCAGCCCCACGGCGCCCCATCCCAACCAGCTGCCAAGGCCAGACCTCTGGGCATCACCGAGCCCCTCCTACCCCTCCTTCCCTCACCAGGTCCTGGCGATCGCAAGTTCCGCACAGCTCTTGAATCCCCTCCTCCTCCACACCCACGGCCCCCGTGCCGGCGAGATGCCTGAATCACCACAGCAGCCTCCTAACCGGCTCCACTGTCCCCGTCTCATCGGGTCTTTCCCAGGCTTCAAACCCCTGGACGAAGGAGGCCCGGGGCCTCCTCACCCGGCCTCAAGTCATGCCACTGTGCTGGCTGTGAACCAGCTGTGACTCTTCCTCCACTCTCCTCAGGGCCTGTGCTGGAGGCGGCCCGGCAGGCATTCCTCATCCTCTAGGTTCTCTGCTAACACAGAGTCCTGTCTAAGACACGTCCCCAAACCTGCCATCTACCAGTCACAACCTGGTACTTGGTTAGTTGAGCTCCATGAGGGCTGGGACTGCGTCCGTGCACCTGGACTTGGCATGGTGCCTGGTGCGCAGCAGGGCTCAACATGCACTTGATGGAATAGTGAGTGTACTGTTCCTGTTGATCAAGACTAGTATCATTTCTACAACATCATGTCACTTCCACAAGAGGTAACTGTTCTGTAAGCCGAACCTCTGTCAACACTGCCAGTCAGCCATGAGACAGGCATGCTGAGAGGGCTTTCTCCCTCCCCTGCTCTCTTACTCGCCCAGGGAGGACGCTAACCGGGGTGGGGGGCAGGTATAGTTACAAAGGGAACGACTCATCCCTCAATCTAGAGCGTCCCCAGAGTGTGTCGAGTGACGAGGGGGAGGACTCAGGCAGGGAGAAAGGGTCTTGCCTTTGAGGTCCCGCACGCAGCCCTCCTGGCAGCTGTGCATGAGCTGGAGGATCCATCGGTGCTGGGCTCCGATGCACTGCCACGCAGGGTCGCCTGGCGCGTGGAGGTCAGACAGGTACCTGAAACGGCAAGGCCAAGGCTGATCCCGGCAGCTTCTGCTGCACAGCCATAATGAGGACAAGAGGAAAGCTAGCATATCTTAAAGTCATCACTTTTAAGAAAACCTAAAACTTTGTCAATTAGTAAAGCATTCGTCAATACTAGTCTTTAATATTCAGTTCTAAATGAAATATATTCAGATTTCTTTTCAGGCAATTAACAAACAATAAACCTACACTTTAAGAAGTTAGGACTTTATAAAAATACAACCAAGGAGACAAAGACAACTTGCAATGCCCCTATAACGCCCAGTGAGAGCGTATCTTTATGGTTACATTTTGTTCACAGACTGTTTCTACTTAGTTCTCAGTCACACAAAAAACAGGTGAGAGCCAGCAGAGGCCTCAGCGTGAGTATTTCTTCATTCCTTTCTGGTCTGAAATACGGCCACGAGGTGGCAGTGTGACCCTTTTTTCTGCAGGATCCAAACAGGGCAACACTTTATTACACAAAGAGATTTGGTGACAGCAAGCACTGACTTCTAAGTCTAAACTCTAATTCATGAGAAGATATTTCTCTAGAAAATACAGTATAGATGGGCATTTTTCTTAGTTTTTAAATAGTTCTTAAAATATTTAAAGTCTTCTTTCTCTGTAAAAATTCCAAACCCAGATAGACAACTTGAAAAATTTCTGCCAAATATCATTCAAAACTTGGCCCTCATGAAATATATAAATGTAACAAGTTAAATCCAATTAAATCAACCTCAAAAGCTGGACTTATTGTCTTAAAATAACTCTTAAACCCTAAGCTGTCTGTTGTCTTGGGGTTAAAAGTTTTGTTCAAGAATAAATTTTAATTAATGGTGACAAGCTGTGACCTCTAAACACGCAGGGACACACCTGGGCTTCTCTCCCCAGCTTCTGCAATACTGAGTATTTCCTTACTTAGCAGCTAATTAGAGGAGAAACAAGTTAGTGGCAAATAAAACACTGAGAAGAAACCTGACATCACATTCGGGAACGACCCACCTCCCCTGACCTCCACGGGCTAACGGGGAAGAATGGTTTCCGAGGACAGCGGGGTGTCCCGTGCGGGCTCCTCTCCTACCCGAGCCATGACCCTTTATTTATAGGGGCCAGGAGGCTGGCTGTGCTGAGAGTCTGGCAAATCAATTACCAGCATCCCCAGGAGGATCTAACAGGTGACGTTCAGCAAAGCCTTCAAAACCTAATCTGAGTCTTCCCCTCACACAGGCTTTCCTCTTCTATCCTCTGGAATGTAAATATGACAAATAGTACATTGTGTCATTTCTTTCCCCAAAACGTGAGCTTCCACCCTTCCTGCCAGGGCGGGACTGTCTGCCGGAGGTGCCCTCGGACAGGTCCTGCTGCACCTCCTGACGCTGGCACTCAACAGCAACCTCAGATCGGCAGCAGCAGTAAATACGGCACCGTCCCTGTCGGAGGGCGGCTTCCCTCCCTCTGTGTGCACACACCACCAGCAGCACACAGAGGGGCCGTCACAGGGCTCGCTCTCGAGCAGTACAGCAAGATCAACATGCCTTTCTGCTCAGCATCTTCTCAGATTATGTCTTTTTAGTATGCTGACTAGGTCCTCCCAAAATTTAATAATAATCCTCTTTCTATCATCTTGCTAATGGGTATTACATAAAAGAGTTTTATAAAGAAAGATAAATTTCTTGTCTCAGAAACTCTGCAGTGTCTCAGTTCAAAAGCACAACTTGTGCTAGGCTCTTCCTTGGTTAAATGACTTAATGCAATGAGCGTCTTCTTTTCTTTTAGTTTGTAGTTTCATTTCAAAGATCTTGGCTTAGCATATGATACAGGTTATTGCTATTTCTTTTAAATACGTGTTATCCGAGAACACTTTTTAAAAAACATCTTTAGAGGGCAGAAGGTAAGGAATGTTAATTATGATGAGCATAGGCTCAAAATTTTTAAATTTAAGAATTAAAGTATTTAGCCATACTCGAACATGATTTTTAACAATTACCAAGGACAGAATCACACTGGCATGGAAGAAGTATGTGGTACTTTGCTTCTTACTTGAGCTACTAGCCTCACCAGAGTAAGGAGAGTGAAAAGAATCAGGATGTCTTTAGGTAGATACAGCAGTGAACAACAGCACAACAACACAGGGGTAATCTGACTCGCTCATTCCCTGCGCAACCTGGTTACGTGAGAGCTAAGAGATGGAGTTTTGCTGATGATAAAGTTGAGAGTCTCACCCCCACTTGGTGCTCAAAGGACTGCGCACCATAGATTCCAAAGTCCAACAGATATGTGGCCTGGTTGTGACGTTGTTTTTCCTATTCATTAATAATGAAACCCATAATTTAAGAAGGATGATAAAATTGCTCAGTATCTTCTCAAAGTATCAAAAATAAAATAATGATTAAAAAATAAGTAAATGACTTGACATTCTCAGTGACATTCTTGTTCTTTTCCCTTTAAAATGACAGGGAATAAAACATTAAATAGGCCATTTTAAAGAATCTTTTTTAACACCCACCATCTTTTAAACGGTATCCAGTAGGTTAACCAGTCACAGGAACTGTACATGAGTAATCTACATAAATGGTAATTCGCTACACAAAGAAATCCTGCACTCAATAAGGTTTAACGTATGACTATCAGCAAATGAAAAAGAGTAAGTGTAAACAGGTAAATAGACACAAAGCCCGATTAGTGAAGCAACACAGCAGAACACAGACAAGATGCTAACCAGCTATGTTTCCTACATGAGAGATTAACCTTCCTGGAACTCTGTTACTTTACATGTTTAAAAAAAAAAAAAAAAAAAAAGGCGGTTGGATAACTAACGTGCAGTTTATTCGCAGCATTAGAGTTCTATGATTCTACAGGCCAGAAAAATCTCCCAAATGCATTCTTTCCTCTGGGGGCACTTAGAGAAAAGCAAAGACAGGCTGTGAAGCCAGACAGACAGGGAGGCCTGTGGCGGTGCGTGCTGAGCAGCGACCGCTCTGAGTCCCAGGTCCTCACCTGCGCTCCAGGTGTGATGCAGACACCGCATGGCGGCTGTGAGGCTCAGACACAGCTGCGCAGGCTTGTTTGGGGGGGGGGCAGTCAGCAGTTCCAGCGCCCCTGCGCCTGCTGAAGCCCCTCCCTCTCGGGCAACATGGTTCCCTCTGTGCTGTGGTGTCCATGGCTTTTGCTGTTACTGCTGTCTTTTTCACGTAAGCCCTCCCACTTCCTTTTCAAGACTGAAAGCTTTCAGAATTTTCTCTGCTGCTGAGCCCTGGCCACTCTCGGGGCACCAGACACCCTCCCGCCTGTGGGACAGTGCCACCCTCGAAGCCAGTCAGGGAGTCCCCACCTGCGGGGGCCCACGGGGAGGGCCCCGCAACCCCAGGCTGGGGAAGGTGCTGTGGACGGGAGGAGAGGTGCAATGAGGCTACTTTTCCTTTCTCCAAACCGGCAGGATTTCCTTGCCTTCAAAGAGTGAGTGCTCCCAAATTTTTGAGTACACAGAAGAATTTTGGTGTCCTATACTAGGTATCCCTAAATTTCTGCTACTTGTCTTCCCTTTTACCGTTTCATCAGTCTCCCAATTTCCCCCAAATCAGCTTTAAGAGTTACATGATGTATGCAGCACTATCCAGACACATGTGATTTGTCAAAATTCTTGCAGAAGGTTTACCTTATATAACGTTTTTGGTCATGTAAGGTCGATGGTGTCTCAAGCAACTTATCCAGAAGTAATTCTCTCAAAGCTTCAATCCGTGTTTCTACTTCAGCATAATCTGTTTAAAAAGGAAATTATTACACGACTTACAGAATGAAAATTTAAAATCCAATTACGGAAAGCAGAACAGTGGCTGCCCTGGGGTAGAGGGGCGACTGAGAAGAGGCAAGAGGGAAATTTCCGGAGTGATGAAAACGCTCTCTCCAGGGTGTGGGTTCCATGGGCGTGGGTATTTGTCAAACTCACTGAGCTGCAATATGTAAGCCCGTGCATATCACTGCATGTAAATTTACCACAATAAAAATAAAATTATTTACAAATTTAATCAAGCCCTGTGATATTTCTCCCAGTTAATAAGGCATGACCATAAGGCATTTTAGGCTTTTCTTATTTTCTGTAACTCTAGCCTTAGAGATAATTTCAAAAGTTGTTTAGTTTACTTTAAAGTAGGGTTAGAATTCATAAATATATTGGTCTTTCTGAAGAGGGAAGATTAAAATGTAGATTTATGTTTCTGTAAAATATCTATAATTGATTCTTTCCAGTAGAAAAGACTTTAAATAGCAACATGATTAACAAGCAGCAAAGAATGTCCAAGACTAACCTATCCTACAGTTTTCACTCCATCTTAGTAAGAAAAGCCATCCTGTTACTTCTGAAGTAACTGTCTTACACCTGAGAAAGGGCACCATATAAACAAAAACTAAAACGAATGTAACATTCTTTGCAGACTACATTCCACATTCTTCCTGTAAAAGCAAAGTAGAAAATCTAAAAGTAATAAACAAATCTTACATTTCTTGAAAACTTGCACCTCCGTTTTCCCAAAAAGTGACTTGGCCTTTTCATAATCATTAATAACCACATCATAATCACCCTTTAAAATAAAGAAACATTTTGGAGACTGTCAGTAAAGTTTAATGAAGACACTTGGTTAAGATAAAAAACATCTTAACAACTCTTTAAAATTTATGACATCTATGACCACAGGTACACAAATATGCACTCTACCTTCTGGATATTCCTTTCAATACTCAGAGGAAGGTTGAAGAGAAACTTAAATCGCTGCAGCACATTGAGCGCATTTCTAGTGGAATCCGCCTTGTCCTTACGACCCAAGACTTCTTGAAATAATGTGTCCGCAGTGTTACTTGCTCCTATTTTAAAAGGACAAAAAGAAACTTAGATAAAAACTAATTTTAATCAGAAAATGTGTCACTGGACAAAAGAAATAAAATGTTAGACTGCTATTGCACTTAATATTAAAACTCAGTAGACTTTTCTAAAAGTCAGCTATATTGGAGTTTTTTTTTACGATTTGATAAAATACAATTTCCTTTTTGCCTCTGAAGTCTTTTCATATGTGCATACCAGTTAATGGTATCCAATTAAGAATAACCATACTTACCGGGCCCAAATAAATTGTCTAATGTCAATCTACGTTTATTTTAGCTTCTTTTAAGTTTTACAGCATTATGGAACCTTAGGTTATTTCATTAATTCAGACAACAGGTTAAAACCCACACACATACACGCGTGCACACACAAGTACACTAGTTAAATTCTCTGGATTCAATATTTACAGATCCATAGTAATAAAAAAAAACGGAAAAAATTTTTCAGAAAAGTTGTTCAAAAGAAATATTTTAGACCTAATCCTACTTCTACATAAAATTATCTAATTATGTAGCAGGCACAAAAAATGATATAAGCAATTTAAAGTGTCAAACTTTAACACACCACTATTAATGAATATTTCTTAAATCAGCTTAATATTTCTTAAAATGATACACAGACTGGACATTCTATATATATGTATTTTTTTTACCTTAAAGACCTCAAACTCTATGAATCACTGTATGAAAGAGTTTCTTTATCTAAAACAAAATTTACCGTGTACAAAAATAGTTAAGCTTTTTCAACTTGTGAATTATTTTTAATTAGTCACAAGGAAAGGGAAGAAAAAGGATAAACTTTTTTTGGCTGTTTGACCACTGCTCATAAAAAGTTTCTACATTATCTGGTCTAGTGACTATACTTTAAGCAAAGATGAAAAAAAAACGACCTCAGTCTCGCTGGGTGGCTGGCATGCCGCATTCTCTGGTCCACACTGTGGGTGGCCTGAGTGTGTTAAAAGTCATCTTTGTAACATAATTGTTTTATCTAAATAATGTTTAAATTCTGTTGAAATTTTAAAGGCCTGGTATAAAAACTTTGTTTTGTCAGGACAGCTATTTTCACCACCTGCTATTTAATGTAGAATACTAAATTTCTACTCTGGGAAAAAAAATATATTCCTTTCTTGCCACCAAACCATATAATGATGACTAAATGAATACTGGAAATGTGATTAAGGTTAAAAGTATTTTTCTTGGAAGAAAATTAATATTAAGCATTTGTTTATCATTTAGAAATAAACTTCACGAATTGAGGCTCCATGAATGAATTAGATACGTGAATGGGGACTGAATATTTTTAAAGGCTGATTACTTATGTGTGCGCTGCGGATGTTAACTCCCCAAAGCACTTTCTCTACAAGGAAGGAGGACAAGACACCAAAACTAGATTTTTTTTTCATCTTATTTTAAAGACAATAAAAAAATACAAACTAATAATTTCAAACTCCCCTAAAAGTTATAACAAGCACAGGTAGAAAATTTGCTTAAAATTAAATAAAAATTTGCTTAAAATTAAATAAAATGTAAATATTTAATACAGAAAAACTTATAGGCAGAAATTATAAACTATAAAATTAAAATTTAATTTAGTTACACAAAAATGTATACATATAGAGAATTCTAATTTACGTACAAATTTTAAGTCATGAAATTATGATTTTAATTTATAGATAATTTCTGTCCATAAATTATTCTGTTGCAAACTTTACTGCATTCACAATAAAATCCTGGGAGTTCATAGCTCTGATAACTGGATGATTATAGACAGTAAGAAACGAAACGAAAGCAGGGAAACCGAGATTTGTGCAAGCGGATAAAAAAGCAGCAGCAGCTCACCAGCCACACCTGAGGGCAGCTGAGAGGAGAAGGGCGCGCTGGCCCGACGAGCGGAGGCAGGGCCGCCCTGAAGGCCACCTGTGCCAGCCCACGAGCAGCCCTGGGCACGTGCAGGCTGAAGGCTCTCCCCTTCCCCCCGCAGGGACACTGCATCATGGTCTGGGGGATGGATGCCCCCCCTGCACTGACAGCAATGACACTGGCCTCAGCTGGGCTGGCAGGGCAGTGATATTTTCCTCAGCATGAGACAGGGAGATGTGGATGGACCCGGAGGGCTCCACGCCACGTGCAGTCACAGGAAGACAGACCCTGAGTGGCTCCACTTACACGTGGAGCCTGAAAAGCCGAGCTCTTGTAAGCAGGCCGGGCTGGGGCCTCGGGGAGATGGATGCGCTCTGAGGATGTGATGCACAGCATCGGAAACAGAGCTAACAATGCTGTACTGTAGCCTGAAAGTGGCTTCAAGAGGAAATCTCAAACATTCTTATCACAAACAAATGGAATTACGTGTGGTGACAGAGCTGGCGGGGGTGGGGGTGGGGTGAACACGCGGCATCACAGACAGGTATCTAACCATCACACTGCGCACCTTAAACTTGCACAATGTCCTGTGTCAACTATATCTCAGCAGAGCTGGAGAATAAGATGGGAAGACAAGTCACTGCAGTACTGCCCACTGACCAATCAAACTCATACCTGCCCTCAAAGATGGAAAAACACTGTAACTGTGCCAGGAACCCGTCATCCACAAAAGCTAGTCATGTACTTCTGATGGCGCCTGGTCATTTCAAGCATGTTTATTAAAGTAAACACGAAGCTCTCTCTGGCCCCTTTTCATGGCACTGGCACCCAGCACAGAGGACAGTACGGGTGATGTATAACCTGCGTCTCTGCTTGATGGGAGCTGGGGGGAGGGGGGGGGGATGGGAGGAGGCTTCCCCCTACACACTCACGACACAATTTACCCCAGGAACAATGAAGCTGAATGAAATTGAAGGTAACTTTTCAACGTATACTTAAATTCATAGCAAAACCAGGACACAAAGAGACTGAACAACCTACTGTATGTCTCGTTTCTCTTAACAGACTCCAGAAAACGGCCCGACAGGCAGCTATCTGACATTACAGGGCGACATTACATGAACAAGGTCACTACCTGAGTCACCTAGTGCTTGTTCCCAGCCAGGCCTGACGCTGGGGTCCTACAAACCGCTGTCACGTCACCAGTGCACACTTCTACCGGTTTCTCTTCTGGTCTCTATCCAGCTCCCTCCAGTGCATTCTCTGGACAGATGACAGAATGTTTTTTTAAAAGTTCACCATGTGAATTCCTTATGTAAAATCCTCCCACGGCTCACCAGTATTCTCAAGATAAAGACAAACTCCACAACGCCGCACAGAGAGCTTGTCATGAGCAGACCCCTCTACCCGGCAGCCTCAGCCCTCACGTCTGCACCCCAGGGTACTCGGTCCTGCTTCATGGACCACAGCCATCTCCCCTGAGGTCAGCGCCTTCCTCCTCGCGCGGCCTGCCCCGCCCGGGATGCACCTGGGCCCACTTAGTGCCCACCGGCCAATGTCAGCCTGCCTGGCCTGTCCCCCTCCTCTCCTGAGGCTCGCAGTCCTCCCCCGTCCTCTCTCCATCGGGGCTCCGGGACCCCTACCAGCAGAGCACTGTCACACCACAATTTAATCCCCTACCTATCTGGTCCTACTTTTTCACTGGATTATAAACTCTCGGAAGCAAAGCACAAAGTTTCATCCTCCTGTCCCTGAAGAGGAATAAGAGCGCTCAATAAACGCTTACAGGGCAAGTGCCAGAAACCAGCCTCAGAACCAGTGCCCAGGACTCTGTCCCCTGAGGGAGGGACAGCACAGGGCCCATGTGCAGGACCACGTCAGTGATCGGGCAGCTGAACCGAGCAGAGCAAGCAATCCTAATAATCAACGCGAAAACGACGCTTGTTCTGTGACTTAGAAAATTTTTGCTGAAACATTAAAAACTTGTTTACTGTTGGTTATAGATCAATAAGAAAATGAAAAAAACAGTAAAACTAATTTTTATTTAGCACACTATAATAAAAAACATTAGAAACTGAAAATTCAATGTTTAATTGCTTTGTAAAATTTATCATCAAGATAGCCCGCCTCTTCTTGTCATAAAGTTTACAGCATGTATCAAGCATCTTTTCTGCGCTCTGACAAACAATGACGCTCGTTTCCACGTCTGTCTGCTGTACTTCCAGCTTCACTGGTCAGCTCTGAGCGCTCCATCGGCCTCACTCCCTCTGGGACAGCCTTACCTCCTCGTCACACCTTCCTGGCTTCGGTGGGGAAGTCCACCCTCACTGAGCTCCTCGGGCCTCCCAGTGTCCACACCCCACCACAGCCACTTCTACAACCCAAGTCGTGCTGGATTTGAATTCCACTCACACTGTCATCACTTTCCCTTTTCTGATGCACTTTCACCTCTGTGGGCCAACTTCCCCTTCTGAGTCTCCATGTCTGCGAAATGTCTGCAAGCTTCTCTCTGGGAGACGAGGAGGCTGCCCACAGGCACACTCTGCTGTCTGAGCGTCTGCAGTGGGTCCCCCCGACTCTGCAGGAAGAGCAGCTGGGCATGTTACTGCCGAACGTTCAGTGGACCGCAGAGCTAGCAACCAGGTGTGTGCTTGATGCAACGTGGCAAGAATACTGGTCACTGAAACCCACGCATCCCAAACCAGCAAGGCAGTCTGTAGTTTAAAGCGCAGGCTCAGAGCCAGATGCACAGACACAGATCCCAGCTCTGCCACTTACTGCTGATGTGACTTTAGGTAACGCGTTCAATCCTTCTGAGCCTCAGTTTTTCGTCAATAAAATGCGGGTTACAGCACAAGCCTCCCGGGGTTACCGCAGGGGCTGAGCATCTGTGGACTGTGGGAGCAAGCCCTGACACCAGTGAGGGGCACAGAGGTCTAGCTGTCCCAGCTCTGGCGACACACACCTAGACCACAGGGTCCCTCCCCGCACCTGCCTGCCTAGCCCAGCCGCACCAGCCACACGGGGCTACTTCGACTTAAAAGCCAAATTATTAAGATTGAATAAAAATTAAATTCCTCAGCAATACTAGTTCCATTTTAAGTGCTCAAGAGCTACATTTCCATCATGGCAGAAGTTCTGTTGGACGGCGCTGTTCTATGCTCTTGGAACAGGTAACAACACAGAGTGAGATATGTGGATCTGATAGAAATTAACAGTCATCACTTCATCACTGGCTTGAAATCAAGAAGGAATTATTAAATACCAAGGCAAATATGAGAAACATGTATCAGTGAAAACAAAAAAGAATTTCAATGAAAGGCTTCAACATTGATAAATTCTGAACAAAAGGGACTGAATTTCTTAGTCAACATCACCCTTTAGAAACAAAGTGGAAAAGGTTGCCCAAATTTAAAAAACTTTCATTTAAAATAACTCAGGGAAAATGCACATAAGTTAGTATGTAATTATACACAAGATTAAAGCATTAATATAATCTAAGCAGATGTAGAGAATGGACTTGAGGACACGGGGAGGGGGAAGGGGAAGCTGGGACGAAGTGAGAGAGTGGCATGGACATATATACACGACCAAATGCTAGTGGGAAGCAGCCGCATAGCACAGGGAGATCAGCTCGGTGCTCTGTGACCACCTAGAGGGGTGGGATAGGGAGGGTGGGAGGGAGATGCTAGAGGGAGGAGACATGGGGATATATGTGTACGTATAGCTGATTCACTTTGTTACACAGCAGAAACTAACACACCACTGTAAAGCAATTATACTCCAATAAAGATGCTAATAAATAAATAAATGGAGAAATAGAAATTCAAAAAAAAGAAAAAATATATAATTTAAGCAAACCAGACTACATTTGCACTCCTGCAAAATTTCTGTTTCAGTTCCCCAGAGGTACAGCTCCTGAAGATCGGTGAATCGGTGACCTGGGCACGCCGTCGGGGCAGGGGACCTGCTTGTTGGGCGGCAGCCACATCCCTCCCAGCACCAAGCTCGACGCTGGACCCAGCACGGCACTTGACACAACCAGTCTTACAAATGTTCGCCAAGCTGACCTAAACTAACACGACTTACCCTAAGATAGCAAACATCAACGTCCAGTTGACATAAAAATGTTTCTAGGAAAAACGGATTGTTACAAAGGAATGTAATCTACAGGAAATTTTTATCCCAGAAAGTCCTGAGTCTCAAAGAAGTGACACTCACGTTAAGCCAACTTTACCCAAAAAAGAGCAAATTTCAGTAGAAAGGTAAAAGGACACATTTCTAGAAAAAGTTTGTGCTTATAAAGGAACATAAGTAAAACCATTTCCCTTACAAATTTTATACCACAAGTCCCAAAGGAGAATTACCTAAACTACTGAAAAGAAAAAAATTACATTAACGTACTATGCCAGGGCTCACCCATGAAACAGATCGTGATTTTTTCCAAACCTGAGCAAATATCCATTTTCTTCTGATACAATGAGATACTTACTAAGCCAGATTGTTCTCACAAGCCACCTTTTAAAAGTTACTGACATAATCTTTTTTTTAAACAGATATCATGGTTTGATGGCAACTTCTCCAGGGAAAATAACATCCCTAAACAGAAAATATCCATCCAAGACCTTAAAATGTCTATGTTAATATAGAAATAGCTTCAGTAAATGCTTACTTGGGCTGAATTCAGAATATAGCCATTTGAACAAAGCTGGTGACTTGGTTCTCAGATGAGAACGAGGAACGAGGTAAAATCCCAAGGCAAAATGGTGATGATGATGATAATAATACCAACAACCAGAGACCAAAAAATTTAAAGTGCTGTTAAACTCATAAATTTTGGGATGAAATCCAAGTACTCAAATTCTACTACCAAGGAAAGCCTGTATCAAATTAAAGCTTCTTTCTAGGAAACACTTTTATTATTAGAGCTATCCCCAGGTTTAGATATTTGTCGTTGACCAAAACCTTTTTCAGGTTTTGGTCAATGACAAATAGATATTTACAAAAAAGCTCAGAAACTTTTGCTGATGGGACTAAATTAAGCTAGACGTGCAAAACTGACTTGCTATCACAGTCCTGCATTTATAGAATCACTAAAGAGCCGATGCCGGGGTTCTTAAATGTTTCCGTTATTCTCGAGCCTACTCTACTTCCTGGAGAAATCATATGCTATATATGCTTATACTTGAAGACTAGGAGAGTCCCCTGGGCGTTACTGCTCCTTGTCAAATGTTTTTACTACATACGTGGAAGAGAATAATTTACTTTTAAGCCACTAATATTATCATAGGGATTGATTTATCTGATGAGTTTCTTCTGAATCAGTAGGATAAGTAGCTGCAAGTACAGATGTCAGAAAAAAGAAGGGGAGGTGGACAGGGCCTCAAATTGCATGTATCAGTTTCTCTTGGCCTACAATTCCTACAAAATGTCTCAGAGTTGGAAACACTCAAGTATGCAGCTGCCTTAAAGTTGTTTTGGAAAAAGGTAAGGCACAAATAAATAGACAGCAGCTCGGTATCTGTCACTCTAGTAGCTGATGTTATCTGCATTGACGATGGCACGTACTTGAAGATGCTTTTTCAGGTTTTGGTCAATGACAATCTTGGTTACTGCCGCAGCATTTTTCTATCTTTGATGATGCTATTTATATTCTGGCCTCCTTTATGGTAACAAATTTTACTTTTTAAGAAGTACACTGGCTTGCTTTCAAATGATGAGTTCTCATAAATAAAATGCAAACAGAAAGAGAACATTCATTTTCAATGTTTTTATTTCCCTTTATGTTCATTAAATCACTACTATTTAGAAATAAATACTAAAATACAACTTACTGCCTTGTTCTGTGAAACCAGGTCCAAGAACTGTATCAAAGCGTGTTATGAAGTCCATAAATAGTTTTGGGTAGTAGGACAAAACTTACTGTTCAGAACATTCTCCAGTTTCTGCGTCATGGATCCTTCAACTTTTTCCGTTCCATCCGCTTCTAGTTTCTGATGGATGGCTAGAAAAAAGGATCTAGTTAAAATATAGGCTATTTTAATGGGTGGGAAAACATTACGTCAAAATGACATTTTTAAACAGCATAAAAAATGGTCATATTTTCAGTGCTAGAAAGAAGCACAAACACAAAAACTCTGCACAAACTCTGCAAAGTAACCAGCAGACACCAGTATTAAGTCATGGTAGTTTAATGCTATTAAAATAGTACATAATACACGTACTTAATCATCTGATCACCAAGGCTGAGTGGTAAAGACGGTTGAATTAAAAACGAAAAGTGAGGCTTAAATAACTAATATCTTTGATATCTGGCCATAAGAAAGTCATTCTATTTCTCAGTTTCACCAACTACAAAATAGAAATACTACTATTTGATATCTATCAACCTCAAAATATTTAATTTCAGCCTTGGGATTTAACATGGCAAAATACATATTATACATATTCTATTTAGTCTGTAATTATTTCCCTGGAGGTTCTCAAGAAATATCTAGTAACATCTACCAATACGTCAATTTGTGGATGTACGAATTACACTGGAGTTGTTTGCTAACACTGACGCACATCTGAATGACTCTGATAAAGAGTATTAGGAAAGCGTTAATTTATATTTAAAAACTTTTACCTACTGAAGAGGAGGCTTTAAACAGCAGATCAGGCTTGCTCAGGTGACTCATTAAGAAAAATTTCAAAACAAATCTCCAAATACAATTGCAAATGCAAAACTGTGACACAGTAAAAGTAATAAAAATAGCAAGGCAAATATTATCGAGACATGACCATAAGCAGAGCACCATGGTAAGTTTCTAAGGCACGACGCACATCTGGTAAGAAGCCAATGATGAGCTTCTAATGTTATTTCTATTTCATAGATGGGAAAACCACAGCTCAGTAAAATTAAATAAGTTGATCAAGGTCACAAAGCCAAACCCCAAATTTGAGCTCAAGCGGTATGATCCCAGGACAAGAAGCTTCACCACATCCTGCCCACACTGCATGGACAGGTGACCCAAACCCCCTCAACCTTTGTTTCCACATCTGTAAACTGGGAACAACAGAACTACTATGTCAGTGGGGAACTGCATTCAGTTGCAAATACAAGACTTCTTTCCAAAATAACAGCTGCTGAGACAGCCAGGATTCTATGCCTTTCCCGGACATGCTCCAGCACACACTCCGCTGCAGGACAGCTCACTCCCCAGCATCCCAGCAGGACTCCAGGGCAGCAGCACTCCAGGACATGAGCTCTTCTCTAACATTCAAACTCCTCCTTAGAAGGAACTGACAGGTTCTGCCTCAACCCACCAGTCAGGAGTGGCAGATTTACAGGGAAAAAAAGTCTGTCTAAGCAAAACTGATGGAAAAAAAAAAAAAAAAAAACCTGATGTGTGTTTCTTTAATCAATTACAATTTAGTTGGTTTCCCTTGACTCACTGGTTAGGGAATTCTGGGTCAAATGAGCTTTGAACATCGACGACTTCTTTTAATTAGTTTCTACTCTTAATCTTGTCCTTTTTTATACTTTTTTGTAAAACAACCTCAAATTTTGCATGAAACTCTAAAAATATATTGCTTCTCTGTTGAAAAAAACACATTCATAGGAAGAAAAATATATATATTTGGGGGAAAAAACCAACTACTGCATTTTTAATTGTCTTGGTTGATTCAGGAATGAAAAGAGTTATTCATCTAATATTTTAAATTTGGATTATGTGATGACATAAAACATTTCCACATACCTTGAACTGATTAAGTTAAATGGAAAAGAACTTTCCTATCTTTAAGGAATGGAGATAAAAAAGCCCAAATATTAAAAAGCGAAACTAGAAGGACGCCTATGTTTCAAACAAGCACATCTGTTCACACTGCTCCTGAGCAAAGGCTGCTGTGTTTCTGACAGTCCTGGCTGGAAGGGAGCCAGTGGCCACGTGGCATGTTATTAGGTGGTCACCGCTCCCGGTCTATTGGTGGCAGTTAAGAGGTTACACCTGAGAACTTCTGCTCGAATGCTGCTTCTAAGTCAGAGTCTGCGCTAAATGAGTCCCCAGCCACATTCTCTGCTACTGACAGGCCCCTCGCCACTCCACAGGTCCAGGCTGCTGCATGGCTCACAGCCCTGTTCTGCCACAAAGCGGCTTCCTGGGCCCATCTCCACACAGCAGACCCGTCAGGCTGTCAGCCAGCATGAGGACCCAGAGACACTAGGATCTGATAAAGGCAATCCTATTTTCCAGAAAACTAATGCAAATAACCCAAGGTCTGGGTCACTTGACCTTTTATTTTCTCTGAAAACATTTTTAAATAGTATAACTCAATAAGCAACTTGGGGGCTTCCCTGGTGGCGCAGTGGTTAAGAATCCACCTGCCAATGCAGGGGACATGGGTTCGAGCCCTGGTCCGGGAAGATCCCACATGCCACGGAGCAACTAAGCCCTTGCGCCACAACTACTGAGCCTGCGCTCTAGAGCCCGCGAGCCACAACTACTGAGCCCTCACGCCACAACTACTGAAGCCCGTGTGCCTAGAGCCTGTGCTCCGCAACAAGAGAAGCCACCGCGATGAAATGCCCGTGCACCGCAAAGAAGAGTAGCTCCCACTCACCACAACGAGAAAGCCCGCACTCCGCAACAAAGACCCAACGCAGCCAAAAATAAAGTAATTAATTTAAAAAAATTGTGACCTTGATAAGCAGGAAAACCTCAAGGAAAAAAAAAAAACTCAGTCCACAGTCACAGGCTTGTTACAGTTTCTCATGTATTAAAACTTAAATATGTGAAGCAGCTGAACACCATAAATCTATATTTGGGAAACAAAGAAGTGTATGTGCAAGTTCTACTCAAAGAAAAATCAGTTACTGAAAGATTGCCTACTGATTCAAAGAGATGATTTGTTTTATTGAACTCTGACAGAAGAATGCAGACATCGAATTTTCTAATTTCAATTTAAGAATTCATAATATTTATGTAAGCATTTATATAACGCCATTATTAGGTGAGCACTAAGGAAAGGCATGAGTGCAGGTGGAGTCCCTCAGGAGTGTCAGGCACACGGCCATCCACAAGCTAGCTGCAGGCTCTAACCACTGAATGCTGTGACCGGCCTGGGTGCGGCAGGCATTTCAGGCTACACCAGAGACTGGCAAACTACTTTTGTAAGAAACACACTGTAAATATTGAGGGCTTTGAGGGCCACAGGGGGCCTCTAGCACACATTCTTCTCCCTTGTTTTCTTAAACAACTCTTGAAAAACAGGCATGTTCAGCTCCTGACGTGTACAAAGACAGGTGTGGCCCAACTTGGTCGAGTTGCCGACCTCTGAGGATAATACTAAGATAGGACAGTAGGCAGGGTTAGGTTGAGATGTATTAATAACTCAGATTTATATAGAACTTTTCAAACATTTAGTTCTCTACTTCTTACTCTACCAAATTTTTATCAGAGTGGCTAAATCATACATAAATTACATCTAAATTGGTTGGGTACTCTATGAATTCTTTCCTTCCTCAGTTATACTGAAAACAATAACAACATAATTCCCACTACTCCTTCGAAGACTAGCAGGTACAAAGGAGCCCACTTAGAAAAGTGGGTCCTGGATAAGCGCATGCCAAGGTTATCTGCACCCCTCAACAGAGTGGCACCCGCTCCTGGAGCAGCAGCAACGCACGGACGGAGGGAGGGCCACGCGTGTTCTGAGCAGTACACGCTGCCGCTCTGCCTGGGCCTCCTCCCTCGGCGACCCCTCACCTAGCGTATATGGTAAAGAAGGCCAGGCCCACAGCTGTTCTCACAAGGAGCAGTTGATGGGGCTGGATCTGCCACTAAAACAAATGATTGGCCAGGTGAGGGTCAGAGGGACTGAGGAACAGCCGGCCTTTCCTGTAAGGAGGCCCCACAGGCACCACCGCAACGGGGGAGAACCTGGGCTTCAAGGCTTTGAGGCCTGGAAGGGAACAGCAGGGCGACAGCCACGGGAAAGGGAAGTACGCTACTGGGAATATTTTTGCAGGATATGGTAAAGAAAAAACTATAATAATGAACACACCGAGGTTAACATTGGCAGATTAGTTATGCCAGACACACTTCTTGCCAAATTCTAATTAAAATACTCATGGTACACAAAGGAATAAAGAAAACAGCATAAAACCTTAAAGGTAAATAAAAGCCATACGAGAAGGTAATTGCTGCCAACTGTACACTGACTGGGATGCACTGAAAAGAATCCTTGGACTGTGTATGAAAAAAGTCCACTACAGTCAAGAGAAGAACACGGCTGATATCAAAAGGGCAGAGAAAGGTATTTATCCAGCTAACTCTGTAACACAGGGTGGCCCAGACATGACACACCTGCAGACTTTTTCCCAAGTCTTCAAGACTACAGAGTCTCCCCTACTGTTCTCACCTCCAACACCCCTTTAAGGAAAGGACTGTTTAAGAACACCATTTCCCAGCACCCAGCACGCAGGAGAGGGAGGGAAATTAGCAGAGGGCTCCTCCCCTGGGCACCGTGCAGGGAAGCAGCAGGGGAAGAAGCCTCTCAGAGACACCCCAGGGAGTGACAGCTGACCGAGCGAAAGAAAAGTGTCAGAGCCTGCAGGTGTGAGTCTCTAGGCTCTAAAAGCTCATCAAGTGTTGGGTAAAATGAATAAAAACAAGACCTACATTCCAATATACCCTGAAAAGGTGTTTTGGGTTTTTTTTTTAAATAATTTAAGGCTAAACAAATATATCTTAAGCATTAGGCAGAGAGAAAAATAAACAAGTCACCTGCAAGTAATAAAGAATCACTCTGGCTCAGGACTTCCTCTCTGTGACACTAAAAGACCCTGGACCAATGTTTTAAAAGTCATTCTCTTATGGCCAAGAGGTTGTTCATGTATGAAAGCAAGAGACACTTCTGCATGCAGGAATTCAACACATAACGCACAAGAGTTACAAAACAAAAAATCCGAAGAGGAAAGATGACACATACACAACTGGCAACAAACAGTAAAGCCAATGAAATGTATGTGTATAAATGGTAAATTTTAAGTAACTGTGGTAAATATGAAATTAAATGCAAAAGACAAGAATAAATCTAGAAACAGAATCATAAAATAGAAAAGGTAAAAAAAAAAGCAGCTAGGTCTATGACTTCAGATTAAATTAAGACCAGAAAAAAGGAAAGCACATGAGGAATGCAGATGTGACAAACTGTTGTCATGCACATCAGGAGTCAGAGACAACCTGTAACAAAATGTAAGACCATTTCTTCCAAATCTGCAAACAATATGGTCCATATAGCAGAGGTAAAAATGAAAAAAAAAAATTATAGAACAAAAGGACAGAAGTTTCACTTATGATAAATGTACATGGCTTAAATTCTTCTATGAAAAGGCAGAACCTCTCAGAACGGCATAAAAGAATATAAATCCTACCATTTCTTGCTTATAAGAGAGAAACAAAAACAAAATTTCTCAAGGTTAAAAGGAACTTAATGCATAATATCATCAAGCAAATGCATACAAAAAGAAGGGTATGGAATGTTAATCCTGTACAGTAAAGAATTTAATCTTGCCCAAAGAGGGGGCTGGCCTTTGCCCTCGGCTGCTGGAAGGTCACCTCTAAGCTCTTCAAGCATCTTCTGTGATGGGGCTGCACTGCACAGTCTGACAACGTGGTTTATGGTAAGGGCTTTGGTCACTTGGCATTGGCTCGATCTGCAGAGGGACTGGAGATGGAGGTCAGCTGTTGGGAGTCAGCTCGTGTCTATGTGACAGAGTCCCGATAAAAACTCCAGACCCAGGCTTGGGTGCAACACTCCACGCCACCATCTCACATCACTATCAGGAGGGTCGGTGCCACATGACTCCACCCGAGAGGACAACCAGGGCTCCCTGTGGGTGGGACTGCCTGGCCCCACCCCAGGTGCCCTTCCCCAGGCTGAGCTAAGTTGTCTCCCTTCGCTATAATAAACCACAACTGTGAGTACACAACTGTTGAGTTCTTCCCGCTGATCACCAAACCTGCGGTAGTCCTGGGAAGTGCCCCAATTTTGCAGCTATTATTATTACCTTACAGTGTAATATAGTATCAAGAGAATCCAAGCATCAAAAGTTACAAAGGAAACATGTTTTACATACAAAGAAAAACTGACAGAATCAAAATTAAAGAGGGAGATTTGTCTGGCATGTTTATTATAAATAACCTAGACTTAAATAACATAAGTAATTAATCAGGCACTGATAATAATACACCAATCAGTGTGCCCTGAAGAGAACAGGCAGTTGCAGAAAACTGGTATCTATCAAGAAACACATTTTCTTTTCATAATATAGTTAGACTAGAAACTAACTTTAAAAAACAAAAATCCACTACAAACTACTAGATCAAAGAGGAAAATTTCAAATTTTAAAAACACAGAAAAGGCATAACTAAAGAATCAACGTAAACAAAGAAGTAGGACACACGCGTGAATGAAACTGGCGACAAGGGCCTATTACAATGAATTTTTAATGACTTTTCAATTATAATGCAATTCTAAAAGGCATGAAAATCTTAATGAAATAGAGAACTTCAGGAGAAAGCCAAACCAAAATCCACAAAACACAAAAAGCAGAGATTTCAAAAGTGTATCTATATACACACTGCCAGTGTCTATATATACATCCCAGGGTCTCTCTCCAGGAAGAATAGACACTAACGTCTCCTGATGGGATAAGATCGGAAGCACACACTACCACATGTAGCCACAAGGGTCAAAACTGAATCCTAACTGGTATCCAATCAGGTAAGTCCCAGCAATACAAGCTAATGGCACCACGAGGAAGTAATGAGTCAAATCCAGAATATGGGATATCCTACAGGACAAACAGCCTCATGTCTTCAACAAATCAATAGCATGAAAAAAACGAAGACGGGTAGCGAAGGTGAAAGGACTGTTCTAGTTTAAAAGAGCCTTAAGAGACTGAAAAAAACAAAACAAACAAACAAATGAACTGTCTGGGTCTTATGTGGATCTTGGTTTGGACAAACCAAGTAAGTGTAACTGGGGAAATTTGAATTTGGGGCCTTGAATGATACTGAAGGGTTACTGGAACTTTCTGAGCTGTGGTCACGCGGCTGTGGTCGAGTACGTAACATCCTTATCAGGGGACTCACACTGAAGTGCACAGGAGAGAAAGGTCGTGCTGCCTGAGATCAGCAAAACACAAACCAACCAACCTCAAAACCTGCGATGAGGCAAGTATGGAAAAATATGACCTGTTAAAGCTAGGTGATAGGTATATATGGAAGTGATGGTACTATTCTCTCTACTCTTAGCATGCTTGAAATTTTTCATAATAGGAAAGTAAAGCTAATTACCTGAGCAGACAGTTTATTAGCTCTTTCAATGTATCAATGCTCTCAAATTTCAAATAATTCCTAATCTACATAACCCACTTCACAGTACGAACATATACTCGTACAGATCCACATGATTCTGTATAACAGTAGCACCAAAACCTGACCGAAAAAGCATTTTTTAAAACTACAGTTCAATTTCAATTAAGACTACAGTTGAAAAAATTTTTAAAGAGCTACTAATAAAACAAATCAAATGCTAAAGTATAGTAAAATAATTACTCAGAGGAGCCACCTAACGTATAAAAGATTTCTAGCACACACAACTATATACACAATATAATTCCAATTTTTTAATAGGCACTCATATAAGCTGAGGGGAAAAAAGACCAAAAGGAAATACATCAAAATGTTACTGTGATTATCCCTACAGTAGAGTTGTAAGTCATTCTTGATTATTTGTCTGTTTAATATTTTTTGTAATGTACATTTACATCAAAAAATAGAAAAGCTAGATATATGTATGTTTAAAATTTTCTAATTTACCATTAAAATCATTTTCTATATGCCACAGAGTCACTCGCTTATTGGTAGTTGGTCAGCATTATCATCTTTGCTAAACTTTAAATTACCAGTATACTTCTAGGACAAATGTCTAATAAGTGAGACTAAATTTAATGCACCAAATAAAATCTCTTGAAATTTGCCAGGAGTGAAGCCATTTACATAAGTAAAACCATAAATAAATGAATACAAGTATACATGTGTTTACAAATACATATGTTAAAAAAAAAGGGTGGAGGGCTTCCCTGGTGGCACTAGTGGTTGAGAGTCCGCCTGCCGATGCAGGGGACTCGGGTTCGTGCCCCAGTCCGGGAAGATCCCACATGCCGCGGAGCGGCTGGGCCCGTGAGCCATGGCCGCTGAGCCTGCGCGTCCGGAACCTGTGCTCCGCAATGGGAGAGGCCACAACAGTGAGAGGCCCACGTACCGCAAAAAAAAAAAGAAAAAAAAAGGATGGAGAGAAAAGTCAAGCATGTTTTTGCTATGGAAATATTGTAATTACAATAGTTATGAGAATTGCTAATCACATATGGCAAATTATCATGTGCACAGCTACCAGGCATATCGATAACTTCGTTCAACTCGAGAACACTAAACTCAGTTCATTTATGCTCAAGTTTCTGCTGCTGACATAGCACCACTGACAACTTAGAATATCAATAAGCACAAAGAAAGCAGCACAGCACACCATCAAAAAACGCAGGGCACAGAGACTTTATCAAAGTTTACCTGACTTCTCAGCTCCCTCCCAGGCATTCACAACTCACTCCTTCAAAGACCTAACTTCTACGTGCAGAGAGCTGTACCAGATGCACATTTAACTTGTCAAAAGGCAACCAAGCGTGTCTGGCCCAGGAGGAGAAGCGTTTTGAAAAAGCTAATAGGACGTCCGAACTTTAACAATACAAATTAATTTAGAAACTAAGTCTTTCTGAATTGAGGAAGGTGTGGCCTCTTAGTCTACAGTTTGGGTTATAGGTATCTAGCTATACAGGTACTTAGTTATAGGTGTCCTTGTTTTTAAAAAGAATTGGGCTAACTTTTTTTTTAATATATCTTACTTTTTACTAGATAAACAATAATTTGATTTTTATTAATTAAAGGTAGTTAAAAAGAAAAAAATAAAATAACCTATCCAACATCTTCCCTTGAAATGTCTAAAGCCATACCATTTCTATTGAATACCATTTCCTTCACATGTAAGGATGAGTATGTGGGTGAGGGAGTTAGCTACCGTGCGGGGCTGGTGGGGCGATGGCTACAAAGAAAGGACACGTTATCACCAGTTCTTCCCAGACCAAACACACAATGGGTCACATCTACAGAATTAGTCCCATGTGCAAGATACTGATGGCTGTACAAGGATTTTTAAAATTCTAGAATTCTACCCTTGGGATTTAACTCCTTATCGTCCCTGGACACCAGACACTGCTGGGAGGCAAAGTGGTCTCCTACTTCACACGTGTCTGATGGGTGAGCAAAGCCTCAGGGACAAATACTTAAGGTACCAAGCCTTCAAAGAGATTCCAGCCCAGCCGCAAAGACTGACTGGTGGCCACTGCAGAGCTCCGCTCCCAGGGACACAGCCTCAGCATCACAGCCTGCAAACACTCCGTACGTGCAGGGCCTGGTGTCCGCGGGGAAGCCCCAGCAGATGGCTGGGGGTCACCTTACCTGAGAGGGCGTCCTGTGCCTCAAAGAAAGTACTGAGTCCCCCTTTCACGCACGCCAGGCTGCCCTCGCTCTTCTTGTTAGCCTGTCTCTTCAGGTGGGTGACGGCCATTTTGAGCTGTTCAAAACTGAAGTGAAATGAAGAAGCCACAAGAAGATGATGCATCAAGTGTGAAATACTGAAGCCTACCCTGGAAGGATACAGACTGATACAGTATGTAATCAGATGAAACCAAGCTTTCAAATGCTTACCTAGATCTAAACCTTTACATGTTATGAACACCAAAGTTACAGCAGCTATACAAGGAGATCTGTAGCCCTCATATGTCAGAACCCTGGGAAGTAAATACACATGGAGACATTCTTATAATCGACCCAAATCACACACAGGATTTGCCAGGTAAGGAGTTTTGAAGAGCGTCTCCCAGATGTGGAGACCTGGACCATGCAGTGCTGGGTGACAGGACTAAGAAGGACCCCCTGGACGTCCACTGCTATGCTCTGGACACAAGCTGCGCACGCTGTCCTCTTCAGCCCATCATGACCAGGCCCCGCCATTAACAGTGAAATTACAGAAAACCTGGGGGTCAACTCAAAATTTAAATAACTAAACAGATCACACTATTTCATCTTTATATCTCAGGCACAGAAAAAACAGTCAGATCTCTGTATTTTAGAAGTTTTATTTCCACCTGAGCTAAGAAAATCTGGCTATATAAAATGTTAACTATATTCTTGAATGCCAAGATGGCCCTACACAGAGAACAGAGATCAATCCTGACATGGTGACAGAAAAGCACATCTATAATGTGAACTCAGAACCATCTTCCACAAAGAAAGTGACAGGCATTTGCTCTAAAAATTTTTCAGGCCAAATTTACTCTAGGTATATACCAACTTTTCCTGTTTTCTATAATGGTTTTCATCCCACTAGGTGAGGGAAGGATTTCGCCTAAGGTATATTTTAACAAGTTGGCTTTTCAAGAATACAAATTTTAAACAATAAGCCACTGATTTATTAAAACATTTTTACTAAATATAACTGTTTTAAGCCAGTCTTGCGAAAAAGTTACAGATCTGCTCTTGTACAGAGGGTGGGTAAACTATACGTAGCAGATACAAAGGAGGACTTTAATTGGATATATGACCCTTGTTTATTTTTTGGCTAATTTTAAGCCAAGTCTTTGCAAAATGATAAATAACTCATCTTCCTTTGCTCTCTGGTCAGGGAAGGAGGTGTGTTCCTCGTTTTAAAGCAGCACTCAAGAATTCTGTTACTTGAGTAGGGAGGGGGATCACATTCAGACACAGGACACAGCTGAGACTCCAAAGTTTTAATGGGTGGCATAAATAACGAAACATATAGAAAGAACATGATAGTAGGAAATAGGGGTCCTCTTGATTAATGATCCCATTTTATAAATAAGGAAACAGATACTCTGAGATGTTCACAAGCTCACCCGAGATCAAAGGGCTGCTAAGCAGCAAAGCCAGAGGGAAACCCGCGTTACCTGAAGTCTGATGAGCTGCACCCCGTGAAACCACACAACACAGCCCAGCACCCACTAACCTGGTGTTGGAGTGGTTCTCTATGAGGTACCAGGCAGCCGAAAAGTTCTCACTTGTAAAATCAGCACTCATTCCAGGGAACAGCATTTCTAAGTCCTTCTGGGGAAATTTACCTCTGAGGGAGGAAAAGGTTTAAGATATATTTTGAGTGCTATTACTACAAAGATGTAACCAACAGCAATAAACGTGAATACAAACCATTACAATGATACATGATACAACATGGAGCCTACGTTTGCATGTGTAAAAAAATATACTTCCTACACCTCAGCTAACTTAACATATAAACTTTGACTGTATATGTAAGATAGGAAATTAGTTAAAATACAGAAATTACATCAAAAAAAGAATATAAGATTTTTTTTTTCTTTTTTTTTTTTTTTTTTGCGGTACGCGGGCCTCTCACTGTTGTGGGCTCTCCCGTTGTGGAGCGCAGGCTCAGCTGCCATGGCTCACGGGCCCAGCCGCTCTGCGGCATGTGGGATCTTCCCGGACCGGGGCACGAACCCGTGTCCCCTGCATCGGCAGGCGGACTCTCAACCACTGCGCCACCAGAGAAGCCCGAATATAAGATTTAAAGAGGCTGAGTTGATACTTCATGAAATCTATCCAAACATGAAATCATTTCCTACTCAGTAGATAAAAATCAAAATTTGGGTACACTGAAATTAAAAACAGTAAATCAACTTGTTACAATGGTTTTTGTTCAAGACCTATATGAAAGTTGTTTTAAGACACACTGATGCCTGATGACCCCTACTGATAAAATCAGATCTCTATAGTATCCATGTTTCTATGCCCACGTCTAGATCAATTTCAAGAAAAGCTTACACTACCTGACACTCCCTTATCTGTAGCTCACTTTCTTGCCCACATTTTTAAGGTCAACTTCTCGATCAGTTCATTTATCTATTCATTCAAACACGAATTAAGTACCTACCACAGGTGTCAGGCTCCACACTGGAGGTGAGCAAGTTGTGTCTGAGAGCAAACAGAACTGGGCAGGACCCGGCCCACTGAGGGCTTGTGAGCGAGCAGCCCTTACAGTGCCCACGCTCCGCCTGCAGAATGAAGTCCAAGCTCTGCGGTCAAGTCCCTCCACTTCCCAAACCTGCTTCTCTCTCAGGACTCATTTCTGCTACCCTAATCCTCGAAGCTGAAGCTCCAGCAACTTCAAAGGGATCACAGTTTCCTGCAAACATCCTGGTCGTTTTTACCTCGTTCCCCTCTGACTGAAATTGTTCCCCACCCCCATACGGGACACACAATTATTTTGTCTCTAAAATTTATTCAGTGGGAGAAATTATCCCCAGCCTGGAAGAAAAGGTGTGCAGGTCTGATGACTTCTCTGAGAGTCCCAATGCCACATTATCACAGACACAGCCTCATTTAAGAAGTTAGGCAGCCTTGTCCAAGGGCAACATCCCACCTCCACCCACGAGCACTGCCCGCTGGAGCCCTTCACCTTGCAGGTGACCAGTCCCCTTGGGCACAACTGGCAAAGGCCTGGAGCCCACTCTCTCCAGGGAGAGGGAGGTGCTCACCTGGGCTCGGGGGCCCTGACCGGGTGGCCGGGAAGCCCGTCACACCCTCCAGCAGCTCTCGCCCACCCTCCTCTTCTCTACTGGCTCCTTTGTCCCCATTCTCCCCCAGAGGGCAAGGGACACAAGTCCGAAACACAGCTCTCCACGATCTCCCCTGGAAACCCTGCATCTGGACACGGAGGCTGGCACCTCGGCCAGGAGGTCCCATGTTCCCTCCTGTTACACTTAACCTCTCTCACCACGGAGTTTTCCTTAATTAGGGGAAGAAAAGGTTTAACATGGGAGTAACAGACAAGGTGAGATGAGACTAAGGGAGCCGTGGCTACCAAGCTGGCATCACCTGAGTCTTAGTAACTTGGAGACCAAGTCAACCTTCATCTTTCCTCACTGGCTTCAAGAGTGAAGAATAACTGTAGCCTCAATCTTCTTGGGGGATGTGTGTGAGCAGGTGTGCCTCTGAGTGTGTGCTCCATAGGCACGCTGGTCACTGTCACCAGAGTCTTTGAGAGGGAGTTGGAGAACTGCATTTTTTGAAGTTTATTTTGGTTTAGATTCTTCATGCTGGTTTGATACTTTACTTAGTAATAAAATCCTGTCACCTTTGGAAGTTTTTATCATTTTATTTATGTATACTTCATGCCTCCACGTTGGAACTCTGGGGGAATATATGGCTGAGTGGAGACTTAGCTGAGCCCCAGGGAGGCACCCAGGAGCCTTCCGCTCGCTCTGAAAGGCAAGGGTCACGAGCCACAGTTCTACCTTCCCCACCGGGAGGTATCTGCCCAGGGAGCTGTCTAAGCTGGAAAGGACAGCCTGGTGCACCAGTGGGGCCTCATCAGTGCGAAGAAGGGCATGGCGGTCCACCTGCTGCTTTTTCGTCAACGTGGCGCTCTATGTAGTCCTGAAGTTAAATAGTCTTAACAGAATCAAGTGCCACAGAACCACCTGGTACCAACTAAACCCCTGCTATTAACAGTCGTTATAACTTATTCAACTCCATGAAATTCTCACCGAACAAGGGTCAGGTCCACACTCAAGACACTGAAGATACAACTGACAAAAGAGCAGCAGAAAGGGCCTCTGGGAGCCAAACTGAGCTTCTCTCCCTCGCTCGGGCCCTGCAGCTTTACTCTCGTTGGGTGGTTCCTACCCATCATCAAAGCACAACGTGAGAAGAGTAGCTGGAGTTAAGTATGACAGGACAAAAAAGGCTCTGAGACAGTGACAGCAAATAAAGCAAAGAGGCACCAAACGCAGACACGAAACTAAAAAATACAGAAGCTGTGTGCCACAGTGAGATGGCTAAGGCCACGCAGTTCCCACAGGTCTGACAGCAAGTACTACTCAATGGGTTTAGTTTTAAAAAAAGAAAAAAACTTTGTCTTCCTGTCTGGCATACTGAGATCAAGGTCCACCCACGTTGTTGCAGATGACAGGACTGTCCTCCTTCTCACGGCTGAGTAACGTTCCTGTGTTCCTGAGTAACAATGCGAGCCTGGGCACCCACACGTGGGTGCCCACTCCTTTAACCCCCCACCCACTCCTTTAACCCCCTGTCCGTGGATGCACACTTAGGTTGTTTCCATATCTTGGCTATTGTGAATAAAGGTTGTTCCCATATCTTGGCAACTGTAATTAATGCTGCAAGTGATCACGGGGTGCAGATAACTTTGAGATCCTGTTTTCATTTTCTTTGGATAAATACCCAGAAGTGGGACTGCTGGGTCATATGGTAGCTCTATATTTAACTTTTTGAGGCCCTCCCTGCTGTTCTGCACAGTGGCTGCACCAATTTACGTTCCCACCAATAGCGCAGGAGGGTTCCCTTTCCTCCACACCTCTTCCAACACTTGTTATTTGTTGTGAGCCATTCTGCCAGGTGCGAGGGGATCTCACTGTGGCTTTGCTTTGCATTTCCCTGATGGTTAGTGATGCTCAGCACCTCTTCATGTGCGTGTTGGCATTCGTGTGTCTTCTTCGGAAAAACGTCCGGATCCTCTGCCCATTTTTTAATCAGATTGGCTTTTTTTTTTTTTTTTGCTATTGAGTTGTAGGCTTCTTTATATATTTTGGATATTAACCACTTGTCAGATGTGCAAATATAAGCCCCTTATCAGATGTGCAAAATATGTGAAATATTTTTTAAAAAGTCAAACTATAGAAATAGAGTAGGAGAGCGGTTGCCTGGAGATGGGGGAATAGGGAGAGGTAGAAACTTTCACTCATGAGATGAATATGGTCTGAGGATCTAATGTGTAATATGTGACTATAGGTGATAACACCATAGAGAGAATAGAACTTATATGTTCCCACCAAAAAAGTAAATATGTGAGGTGACGAATGTGTTAGTTACCTAGATGGTGGGACTCCTTTTACAATGTACACGTAAATCAAATCACTAAGACGTACACTTTAAACATCTTACAAATTTGTCAATTATTTCTCAATAAAGCTATAAAAAAAAGTTAAAAAACAAAAGGTTATATCCTATACTGTTAGGATGCTTAAACTGGTGGTATTGAAAGATAACAAATCCCAACCATCTAGAACTTCCCACACTTAAAACTGATCTGATCCCTAAACCTTAGTAACACCTCACCTGTAATGCCCTATGTTGTTGTTTTTACACATGTACAGGGTCTGCTTCATCACAGGATAAAGGCCTGAAGTCTAGTGTGGGCTCTACGAGAGGACTCTGCTGCCCCGGGAGCCCCTCCCCACACCGTCCTCCGCAGGACTCCATGGGCTCTGCACCCCTGTGCGTCCCTTCAAGCGCAGCCGGGGGGCAGGGGCTGACCCTGAGTGCTGGCATTAGTGTGAGTGGTGACATTTGGAAGGGGCCACGTGAGAGCTGTCCACTGAGATCTGAAGCATTAATCCACCCCACCCACTGCACTTCTTGTACACACAGCTCCTTCACGCACCTGAACGGGTCAAGACTTTGAAAGGTACTGGATCTCTCTTGGTCAGAACACTAAGTCCTAGTTCTCAAACCCTCATAATCACCCCTAAGAATGAGTTTATTTTAGAGTGATTTCTTCCTGAAGACATTCAACTCTTACCAATCTTACTATACATTTAAATTAGAAAAAGAGCGATTAGGAATCAGCCGTACAAGAATAAGACAAGTTACACTAAAGATGACAACACTCTGTCACGGAGTCAGACAGCTCGATCCAAACCACACAAGTGGCCCGCCGTCAGCCCAAGACCCGACGTCCCCTCCCCTTTCGCGGACAGAACCACCTGCAGAGAGAGTGGGGTGTCCACGCCTCACTGAGTACGAACATCAATAATCCTCAGCAGTTGTGCTTATCGTGCTCCCCTTGCTATTGATCGAGTGATTGGATTTTGACCACAATGTCTGAGGAAAGAGCTGCTGGAGCATTTCTGGGAAAGGCCTCCACACTTCTAAGGAGAACTAAGAAAAGACGGTGTCTTTCTGCCCTCAGACTTTACCGAGCTTCGTTATCTCCTGTGTATTATTACAGTTTCTGCAATACTGGATCTTTATTTTAACACTGTTATTTCCTGTGTATTACTGTCGTCGCGACACTAGAAACCTCTAACG